GGGGGAGAGTTGCTGACCGGGGCTGCGTAGATGAAGGTGAAGAGGAGGAGGAGGAGCAGCAGCAGGGCCAGCCCCAGGCTGAGGCGGCGGCGGGAGTGTCTCCAAAGACCATGGGACAGGGTCCGTAGGGGGGCTTGGAACCACAGGAAGGACCACTCTGGTCTCCTGCAGGTGACACCCAGCTCCAGATATTGTCCCCCGGAGAGGGGGGGGGGACACACAGGATGAACCCCTCTCCCCAAAAACTCACACGGGTGCCGGGAGGGTCGGGTACATATTGGGGTCCTCCCGACCCTTCCCCACCGGCCGCTCTTCTGCCTCCTTCTCCTTCAGCAGCTCCAGGCTCAGCTCCAGTTTGCCCTGGAGTAGGTTTGTGGGGGACATCGTGGGGTGCAGGGTCTGTCCCCCCCTCCACCTTGTCATCGTTGTCCCCCACCTTCCCTCTACCCCCCCCAGACTCACCGAGAGGCGCCGCTCGCCCCCCTCCTGCACCGTGCAGGGCCACCATCCCCTCACCCTTCTCTGTCGGAAAAGGGACAACCGGGGGGGGTCTCGTGCCCCCCAACACAGCCAAGGCCATGGGGGGGTCCCCTGTGCTTTTGGGGTGCAGTTTTGGGGGTTCCGGGCTGGCTGTGGCAGTTTGGTGAGCTCCAGCTCCAAGACCCCTGTTGGGAGGGGGGAAAAAAGCCAAGTTGTCAACCATGGGTGCCCACCATCACCTTTGGGGGCTCCTCATCGCTTCTGGGTGGCCTTTGTCACCTATGGGGGTGTCCCCCCACCCTTCTGGGGGGGACACAGGGCAGGGAGAGTTGGGGGGGGAGGGATGTGTCTCACCCAGAAAATCATCAGCCGAAAACTTGTCATTGTCCCACACTTGGAGGATGAGTTTGGGGGGCACCTTCAGCACCGTCTCATCCAGGCTCCAGAAATGTTCCTGCCAGGGCGGGGAGGGGGACAAGGGGGTGTCATTCTTGTCCGTCCACCCCCCCAAAACCCTGGTACCCCCTCCACCCTGGGGGTCCCCCTCTCACCTTGCGGGGCAGGACGCAGAGCTGCTCGGTCTCCAGGTACTGGAAGGAGAAGACGAACCGCCAGTTGAAGGCCCCGTCCCCGTGCAGCGAGCGGTAATGGATGTCCGTCTTCTGCCGTTGCTCCTCCAGCCCATCCAGCCACCTGTGTGCCACCACAAGGGAGGGGACACTGCTGTCACCCTTGTCCCCAGCTCCCCTGTCACCTTCCTTTGGGGTGGGGGACACACACGGGTGGTGGGCTCACCCCATGACGTAGATGTCGCTCATGCGTCGTCCCAACATGTTGACGTCCCTCAGGTCCACGTCCCGCGTGTTCCAGACCACGCAGCGCAGCTCGTACCTTGGGGATGGGGACAAGGATGTGTCACCCCCTCCCCCCCCCGGGGATGTCCCCGTCCCACCCCCTGGGGGTCCCACCAGGTACTCACCTCTGGGGCTTGCGGGGGGTGATGTTGACGGGGGGGCCAGGAGGTCCCAAGCTGGTGGGGAAGATGTCGACCCACATCTGCACCTTGCCCTGTGCAGGACACGGTGGGGGGAGGTTGGGACACGCACCCATCTGTCCTCTCCTGGTGTCCCCACCCTGTCCCAGGGTGTCCCCATCACCCCTCCCAGCGTTCCTCCCTGTCCTGGGGTCCCCATCATCCCCTTGGTGTCCCTCCTGCCACCATCCCTGGGGTCACCATCACCCAACACGCCCATCCTTCCCTGCCATGGGGTCCCTGTCCCCACAGTGTCCCCAAGGCAAGCCCTCCTTGACCCTGTCTTCATCATCTCACTGTCCCTGTCACCCCAGGGTCCCTGTTGAGCCTGTGTCACCCATCCCCAGCATCTGTCCCTGTCATCCTGGGGTCCCCAGGGTCCCTGTCAACCCAAGGTCCTCCTCATCCCCTTCACATCTCCTTATACTCCAAGGTCCCCATCATCCACCACCCAAGGTCCCTGTTGTCCCCTTGGCATCCCCTTATATCCCCATGTCCCCAATCACCCACACCCAGGGTCCCTTACACCCCAATGTCCCCATCATCCACCTCCAGGTGTCACCCCTGGGTCCCTGTCCATCCCCTTGGCAACCACTTATATTCTGGGGTCCCCATCACCCTGGGGTCCTCATCATCCACCTCCAGGGTCCATCACCCCAATGTCCCTGTTGTCCCCTGGCATCCCCTGATACCCCAAGGTCCTCATCACCCTGGGGTCCCCATCATCCACCTCCAAGGTCTATCACCCCAATGTCCCTGTTGTCCCCTGGCATCCCCTGATACCCCAAGGTCCTCATCACCCTGGGGTCCCCATCATCCACCTCCAAGGTCTATCACCCCAATGTCTCCATTGTCCCCTGGAATCCCCTTATACCCCAAAGTCCTCATCACCTCCAGGGTCCCCATCACCCTGGGGTCCCCATCATCCACTCCTGGGGTTCCCTATACCCCAATGTCCCCATCATCCACCTCCAGGGTCCATCACCCCAATGTCCCCATTGTCACCTTGGCATTTCCTTATACCCCAAAGTCCTCATCACCTTGAGGTCCCCATCGCCCATCTCCAGGGTCTGTCACCCCAACGTCCCCATTGTCCCCTGGAATCCCCTTATACCCCAAAGTCCTCATCACCTCCAGGGTCCCCATCACCCTGGGGTCCCCATCACCCACCTCCAGGGTCTGTCACCCCAACGTCCCCATTGTCCCCTGGAATCCCCTTATACCCCAAAGTCCTCATCACCTTGAGGTCCCCATCAACCACCCCTGGGCTTCCTTATACCCCAATGTCCCCATCATCCAATTCCAGGGTCCATCACCCCAGTGTCCCCATCATCCCCTTGGCAGCCTCTTATACCCTGATGTCCCCATCATCCACCACCAGGGTCCATCACCCCAATATCCCTGTTGTCCCCTGGCATCCCCTGATACCCCAAGGTCCTCATCACCCTGATGTCTCCATCACCCACTACCAGGGTCCATCACCCCAATATCCCTGTTGTCCCCTGGCATCCCCTTATACCCCAAAGTCCTCATCACCCTGATGTCTCCATCACCCACTACCAGGGTCCATCACCCCAATGTCTCCATTGTCCCTTGGAATCCCCTTTATACCCCAAAGTCCTCATCACCCTGGGGTCCCCATCACCCACCTCCAGGGTCCATCACCCCAATGTCCCCATTGTCCCCTGGAATCCCCTTAATACCCCAAAGTCCCCATCACCCTGGGGTCCCCATCATCCACCCCTGGGCTTCCTCATACCCCAATGTCCCCATCACCCACCTCCAGGGTCCATCACTCCAATGTCCCCATTGTCACCTTGGCATGCCCTTATACCCCGAAGTCCTCATCACCTTGAGGTCCCCATCACCCACCTCCAGGGTCTGTCACCCCCTGTCTTCATCATCTCACTGTCCCTGTCACCCCAGGGTCCCTGTTGAGCCTGTGTCACCCATCCCCAGCATCTGTCCCTGTCATCCTGGGGTCCCCAGGGTCCCTGTCAACCCAAGGTCCTCCTCATCCCCTTGGCATCTCCTTATACTCCAAGGTCCCCATCATCCACCACCCAAGGTCCCTGTTGTCCCCTTGGCATCCCCTTATATCCCCATGTCCCCAATCACCCACACCCAGGGTCCCTTACACCCCAATGTCCCCATCATCCACCTCCAGGGTCCATCACCCCAATGTCCCCATTGTCACCTTGGCATTTCCTTATACCCCAAAGTCCTCATCACCTTGAGGTCCCCATCGCCCATCTCCAGGGTCTGTCACCCCCAGGTCCCCATCATCCCCTTGGCAGCCTCTTATATTCTGGGGTCCCCATCACCCTGGGGTCCTCATCATCCATCTCCAGGGTCCGTCACCCCAATGTCCCCATTTTCCCCTGGAATCCCCTTGTACCCCAAAGTCCTCATCACCTTGAGGTCTCCATCATCCACCCCTGGGGTTCCCTATACCCCAATGTCCCCATCATCCACCACCAGGATCCATCACCCCAATGTCCCCATTGTCCCCTGGCATCCCCTTATACCTCAAAGTCCTCATCACCTTGAGGTCCCCATCACCCTGGGGTCCCCATCATCCACCCCTGGGGTTCCTTATACCCCAATGTCCCCATCATCCACCTCCAGGGTCCATCGCCCCAGTGTCCTGTCACCCCAATGTCCCCCTTCTCCCCTGGCATCACCTGATATCCCAAAGTCCTCATCACCTTGAGGTCCCCATCACCCTGGGTTCCCCATCACCCACCTCCAGGGTCCACCACCCCAATATCCCTATTGTTCCCCACCATCCCCTGATACCCCAAGGTCCCCATCACCCTGGGGTCCTCATCATCCACCTCCCTGTCACCCCAATGTCCCCCTTCTCCCCTGGCATCACCTGATATCCCAAAGTCCTCATCACCTTGAGGTCCCCATCACCCTGGGTTCCCCATCACCCACCTCCAGGGTCCACCACCCCAATATCCCTATTGTTCCCCACCATCCCCTGATACCCCAAGGTCCCCATCACCCTGGGGTCCCTCCCTGTCCCCATCCCCACCTGCTGCAGCCCGGGCTGGGTGCTGTTGTAGAGGGTGCGTGTCTCGAGGTGCTCGGGGACGAGGTGACACGCGTGGAGCACGTGCAGGGCCAGGCGCTCGCGGGGCGCCCCGGGGTGCCCGTAGGTGGGGGGGCCACTCTCTGCAAGGCCAAGCTCATCGTACCCATGGCACAGAATCTGTGGGTCCCCCCCCCCGCCACCACCCCCCACCCAGA